CCTGCGCTGACCTGGCCGCTGCTCGGGTGCACTTACGCGTCCCCCCAGCGCCTCGACCGCCTGCCCAACCGCGTGCTGCTAGCCATGTACTTCGTCCATTACGTGCACAGGTCAGCCCGGCCTAACCTGGCGTGGCCGGGGTGCCCGGCCGGGAGCGGTCTGGAGTAGTCGTCTCCAGAAAGGGAGAGGCGGGGGGAACAGGGGTGAGGTGAAACTGGTCTGGAAAGTGAGTTGTGCAGCCATCCTGGAGTTTGTTTCTTTGATGAAAATAGCCGGGTTTTGTCCGTGCCTGCGTGCCTGCGTGCGTGTCTTGTTTTGCTTTTATTTTTCGGTATCGGGGACTGAATTCAGGACCTTACCCTTGCAAGCCAGGCGCTGCGCCACCGAGCTGTATTATTATAAACGGCCAAGGCAGCCGTTTAGTGCCGTATGGTAAGACACTGCCTCGCCCTTGTGCGATCTTTTTCTGTTGTTCTCTGGAGACCTTTGCCGCCGCTCCCCCCCCCCGTGAAGTTTTTCTTCTTGTCGCGTGAACCTGGTCCCCTAAAACTTCTCTAGTTCCTCTGTCTGGCTCTGTTCAGTTTCAGAGACTTTTGCCTCCCCCTTAGGCGGTTCAAAACGACGTGTGTACACACACACACACACACACACACACACACACACTGTAGAGGCACAGAGATCCTCAACAACTAGGCCACACACTGAGAGGTCCGACAGGAGATTTTATTAGGGAAGGCAGGTTAGGGAGAGGAGAGAGAAGAGAGAGAGAGGAACAAAGAAAGGAAGATCGTTTTATTGGTTTTGGGCTGGGCTATTGCTTATTTATGAGGAGTGGGCTACTTTTAACCTATCACGCCAGGTTGCCCTTATGGGTTCACTCCTACAGAAACAGGTTTAACCTCTCCAGACCGCTTTGACCTTGGGGGGAGGGAAACTAAAGTTAAGAGCCTGAAGTCATTTTAAGAGCCAAGAAGCACCAGGAAAATGCAGCCGGCGATCGCAGCGCCAGGACCCTAACACACACAGGAGGACCTTGGCTAGATCAGCATGCACATGTGACCTGGGGCTGCTGGCTGAGGGACTACTGGGACTAAAGTCCCCGGTTCCTGGACAGTATTTATAAAAGCTGCTCCAGGCGGACTTGCTGGGTCAGGTGCAGTTTTAAAGCTGCTTGGAGATATTATATATATATTTTTAAAGCTTGTCATGTGAATAGGCATAAAGCCCATGTGGCTGGGAGACATTTATTTAGGTTTTCCAGATAAAAGGATAAACATTTTCCGTACTCCTTAAGCACTTTATTTATTCAGTAGTCATTTGACCTGAAGGGGGCACTGCTTGGGTGAGAACCAGGGTGGAAATGGCACTTAGTACTGGTGATTGGCCGCCTGGCTGGCCCAGCCAGCTCTGCCCAAGGACTCCAGATGACAGGAGCCCTTGGGAGGGGCCCGGAGATGCTGGCCAGGCCTGGGGTGGAGCTTACAGAGCTTGTAGAACTGGGCAGTGCACAGTACAGAACAGGAAGAGTGAGCCACACCCCACCCTGGGTGGTGCACGCCACGTGTGGGGCACTGCAGAATGAGTGTTGGTCCCTGAGCCAGTGACAATACCCGGATGGATGAAGAGGGAGCCAGGAGAAGGAGCGATAGACTTGGCTCCAGGATGAAGAACTGCTGTGCACTTCTGTGTCCCTGTTCAGCAAGCGAGCGCTAAGGGTGGACGTGAGGGGACAGAGGCCCTAGACTCCCGCAGCAGGCAGGAGTAGGAAGCCAGGAGTGAACTTGCAGGAGGAAGATGGCTTGCCTGGTGGAGGAGAGCTGCTGGATGAAGACCCAGCCACACTGCTCCTGCTCTTCCTCTGGGAGGGAGGAGGAGGGCAGAGGACCTTTTGAGCAAGTCTTTAATCTGGGACATGTTGCGTGGGTGTCACAGTCCTTGATAGTTTGGGGGCCATCTGCATCCTGTCTGTGCTAAAGTCTCCTGCCTGGACTCACACTGAGCTCAGTCTTGCTGCATGGCCTGTCTGGCCCATCTGATGTGTCACTGACTGCCTGCTGCAGGTGTGTACTCGGGGCTGCACTCCATTCTCCCCCACCTGGTCCCCAAGTTCATCCTCCTCACTGGCCATCCCCTCGTCCCAGCCCTGTGTTCTGTCCCCAGGTCTTCCTGGGCTGGCGCTTTAGTGCTGCCCCTCATCACCAGCTCTGTTCCCTGCGGCCCTGTCTTACATGTCCTGCCACTTATCCCCTAAGCTCCCTGTAAAGTCCTGCTCGGCCAGAGGACATCAGACGCTGGCAGTAGTGTCCTGCTGTCACCAGTGCTGCTGTGATGTTGGTGTTTCTCCTGTATTTCATTGCATCTGGGCATGTCCCCGCCCAGGCTGAGCACTGAATAGTCCAAAGGACCCTTCCTCACTGCCTGGCCAGGAGTCTCAAGTGCTTGCGTGTAGGACACTGCCTGCCAGACTCCTTCAGAGCCACCTTCGTTACGAACACAGAGGGCCGTGGATGGAGGTGGGCATGACCCCAACGTGTAGGCACTCCAGTGCCCAGGAGGTCACCCCTCCTAACACCTATCTCCAGGATGGCATCCAACTGGAGCCGTGATCCAGTGCTGTCTTGGTCCACCTTGCTCCCGATGACCAAGGCTTCAAGAATCTCACTTAGTTGGGCATGGTGGCACACTCCCGTCCTCCTAGCCCTTTGGGAGGCTGAAGCAGAAGTGAAAGTTTGGGAGGGGCTGGAGATGCGGTTTAGCTTGGCATGAAGGCCCTGGGTTCCATCCCCAGTACCACCCAACAAGCCTCTGCTGCTTGGCATGGTTTCCTGCAGAACAGCCTCTTGGGAAAGCCTGGCCCCATCTCTCCTGTGCAGTGTGGCTCTTGTAATTCTGAATCACAGCCAGGACTGAGACCAGCGGGCAGTAAAAGATACACGAAGACATGTTAAGTTAAAGAGTTTACTTGAACAGGTGTTAATTCAGGAATTGGTGCCTCCTGCCCCCAAGCTATTTGGACCCCACTGAGGTCTGTGCAGGGAAGGCTGCTTATTAAGGTGTTTGGGGCAGCAAGAAAATAATATTTGATTATATCAAGTTCCTAGCTTCAGATCATTGTCAGCTTCTGATTGATCTCTACTTGATTTCAATTTCTAATTGGTTGAGTGTCCAGGTAGCTGGTGGCTTCTAGTGAGCCAGTGACAATACCCTGAGTGATTTTCCTGGAGCTGTTTCTGAGGAGCTGGGATTTAGGTGGCAGCCGTAGAACCTCAGTGCTGGGGCCACCTCAGCCTGTGGGCTTCCCAAGTCAGTTTGTCTTTGAATGCCCTGGCCTTGTGGATCTAAATACTTGAAGTAGGAAAACAGTTTATGCAAAAGTGTAGAACAGTGAACATTGAAATATTCATCATGACCCTCATGCTGTCTGAAAAAGCCAAATGTTCACATAAGTCCTATGTGGCCCTGCAAGAGTCAGATTTCAGGCCTGTTGAGGTTTTGGATCTCAAACTGATGAGAAAAAAGTAGTAAGATTATTAGAGTTAACCACTCACACTTTTGAACATGGAAATAATGAAATCTACCACAACCTAAATGACCCCGGATCGGGAATCATCATTCCCCACTCCAGGGTACTGCAGCTGCGGCTGTGCTGGGAATGGGGTGTCCCCGATGTTGAGAGCTAGGGTCTGCTGGATGAAGGCCATGCTTGTCACTGCAAGGGGAGTGGGCTGTTATCATTCAGGTCATAAGGAAAATACTTCAAGAAATAACTCCTTAGTTTTCTATGTGAATGAGGCACGCATGGAACTTGAGGTCACAGAGCACTCCACATGTGGCCTTAAGTGCACACAGGACTGTCCTGCAAGTGCACGCTTGTGTCCTGGCCCTTGGGAGTGAGTGCACACTTTTCCACAGTCCTTGCCCTCCCCGGCAACAGGCAAACAAGCTCCGCTTGGTGACTTTGAGGCAGTGACCCGCTGACAGTCCCCAAACCACACGAGGGCTGCATGGGGGAAGCGGGCTGCGTGGGGGAAGCGCGGCCCTCCCTGCCCCTGTCCCCAGCAGGCAAGGGATGTGGACACCAGGGGAGCTCTCGTGATCCCTGTGCTTCCTGGGTATTCCGTGGTCCTGGGATTCAGAAACTTTCCCAGCCGGGCTGAGTGCCTGGCTCTTTTATTAATGTTGCCTGATTATCTCTGAAGCTGTTCAGTCAGCAGCTGCAGATCTTTACCCCAGGAAGTGTGATTTCTCTGTCTGACTTGCTCCTTCTGCATGTATTAGGAACCCAGGCTTGAGATGTGATGGTGCCTATCGATGGACTGCAGTTGAGATGTGTGCTCATCGTAGAAAATCTGTGAAATGTTACGCAGAGAAATTATGTACGCCGTCACACTGAGGAAATAAAAATCACCCACAGTTGCTTCACTTACAGGGAATGATAACTATGGTCTCTTCCCCATCTCTTTCATTGTTCTTAAGTTTTTGATCATTTTTTTTCTAAGCAATAATGATACAGAGAAAGAAAAACATTCAAAATTGTGTGAACTGCTTTGGGCTCACAGTCCTACAAGGGTGTCTCCGACTTCATGGAAGCACTGCTCGGGCTGTGCTCTCCTGCCCGGTGTCTGCGGCCACAGCACATGCTGGGGCTCCCCTGGGCAGAACGGAACCAGATGGGGCCCTTGCCTTCCTGGGCTGCTGCTGTCCAGCGCGTGATCCCCGTGTCCTCAGCACTGGATTCCTTTGCGTCTGATCTGTAAAACAACGCCGATACTAAGTCTGATACTAAGTAACAGTTTTGCAGGATTTTTAAAAAGTTATCTAAGGTAGAATGGGAAGTATGAGAAACGCGTCTGTCCACATCGGTCCACGTCGGTCCGTCAGGAGCTGTGAGAGGTACTTCCGTGTTGTGTCGAAACAGCCTGGAGATCCCTGTGCCGAGCAGCAGAGCATCGAAGAACTTCTGGCTTCTTGAGACTCTAGGCTTAGCTCCATCACCAAATGGGCTCTAAGTTCCTAGCCACCGTGGGGACACAAAGGTTGAACCAAAGAATAAATGCAACTCCATCATATGTGAGTCATTTCTTTACATGGAAAGGAAGGAAAGTAAGAAGGCAATTGTAAGACCACGAAGTATCCCATTGACCTGATCCTGAGAATTGGATTAGTTAGCAGATAGACTCTTTGACCTCTGAGGAGCCAGGTGGTTTGTTCCTTCCCAGTGCCTTACCTGACTAAAGTCCTTGGAAGACCACATGCGTGGTGTCCCCCAGCTGGACGTGGTGGCAGAGATGGGAAAATCCAAAGTTCAAGCCCAGCCTTGGCAGTTAGCAGCTCAGAGACCCTGCCTCAGAATAAAAGGGGTGGCGCTGAACTCAGTGTGAAGACGTTCGGTTCAACCCCTGGTGCCACAAGAAAAGCATACAATCCCCACCTGAAGGGATCTCGGCCTCTGGTTGGATGTGGTCTGGTGGTCTTTCCTCGGGTGGGCAAGAATGGTTTCCCACAGTTCTCTGGACAGTGACTGTGACCACGAGTGCGACTGGACTGAAGGGACTGTGGGCATCACTGTCGTGATGGCAGAGGTCCCTGCTGGGCAGCTCCCAGGGAGCCAAATGAGACCCATGGGGAGATACACCTTGCGGGGAAGAGCAGGGCTCTGGTTCTGTTACCGCTCCGCTGCAGGAGTTGCAGGAAGTAGTGCATCTCACGTCCTCTTCACTGTGTGACACGCCAAGTTCTTATTCTCTAGAAATCAAAGAATGAGTCCTAGGAATGACAGATGTTAAGAGTAGGAAGGTATTAGAGTGGGTAGCTGGGGGACCCCACTTTACAGAGGAGTCTTAATGGTGAAACCCACATGGGTAAAATGTGGGCCCCAGCCGCGAGCATCCCATAAGGTCACACGTACAGTCCCTTAGGTAGTAGTGTGTTTGCAGTGGGGAAACAAGTCACGTAAGAAGCGTGGATGGAAGCAGCAAAGGTTTTCCTAGGAGGTGGTGGTCCACCTCATCACCAGGGTGGCCAGTGTCTATCTAGACTGTTAGGCCCAGCGTTTGTTCTTTGAGGAGATGGGTAGATCCGGTCATCTTGTCTCTATCTTGAGGCCTGGTTTCCAGCCGGTATGTCTCCAGGACCTCTGCGGTGTATTTCACCTTTGTTCTGACGCTCTCCAGGACCTGGCCCTATCTGACTGCCTAATCCTGTTTCTGCCTAGCTCATCTGTCGATAATACTGGGACTGGAAACAAATAATAAAATACTTTTTGTTTCCTGCACTGTTGAGATCTGTAAGGCATAAGCAAAAAGTACAGTGAATTGTTTAAAGAAGTTACTACAGGAAAAGTAATGGTCAGCAGTTTTCCCTTGGCATCCCCCTGATGAGAGCATTCCACATAAATTCTGGGGAAATCATTTCATACTTAAAGTCTGACTATAGCCTTCTCAGGCCCCGTGTTGCCTAGCCTGAGAGCCGGCTGTGGCATGTGGAAACACAAGTCTGTTTGCCTCCGATCACAGCTGAGGCCTCGGTGGTCCATGATGCTGTGGTGATCAAAGGTGAGGTGACACCAGCCGAAGATGTCCTGGTTCCTTGAGAACCATGAGTGACACAGAAGAGGAAGGTTTATCAGCCTGGCTCACCCCATCTACCTGGGTAGGAATGCTCTCCTTTCCGGCCTCATCACTAGGAGATTTGCTTCAGCACCGGATCAGAGCCGAGATCACCACCACCCTGCAAGTCACCTGTACTCCCTCCAGTTACTGTGTGCGTCCAGAAATGCTGGCGGGCGTGGAGAGCCTCGGTCTGCACCCGCTGGGGGGGCAGTACTGACCTCCCAGCCCCCCGTGTAATTTGAAATGACCTGAGTCTCTAGTCTTTTTCTTTAGCACTCCCGGCCCCTCATAGGCAGTCAGAGGATCTCAGCCTTCGGTAATCACACGCATGCAGACACACACAGGCTGAACACACTCGTCCCAGCGTACTCACCAGTTGCTGAAACAGCTTTGGAGTCCTCTCTCCTGAATGTCCTTAGCTGTGCGGTCCTGGCTGCCTCGGCATCCTGGTCCTGAGTCGATTCAGCGCGTTTACCTTTCTTGGTCATCGTGAGTTTGGGGAAGAGACAGCACCGCATGTTATGAGCTACACCAAGTAAGGTGGCTGAGGATGTGCTGTCACCCTCTCTGTTGGCCCTCAGCAGCAGTGCTCACTGCGTTTTCTGTCACATCTCAGGAGGACCCTCAAGAACGAGGATTTGCAGAGCCGCTTCGGAAAGTGGCAAGAATGATGCGGTAAATGTGTCTGAAGCCAGAGAGAAGAGTTTTGAGGAATATTTGTGGCACTGTATCTTTTACTGTAATAGTTTTTGAAAATTTAAACATTCACCACATTTTTAAATCACACCTTGTAGTTTACAAAAAAAAAAAATCCATTTACCTCAAATCTGTAGTTTGATGAGTTGTGACTGTGTAGTTATGCAGTCATCGGTCTAATTAAGGTATACAGTTATTTTCCTCAGAAAGCATCTCTAACTTTGCAGACAGTTCCTATCCTGATTATAGTTCTAGATTTGAAGTCTAAACCATTTCAGCAGCAAGATAGGAACCGGCGACGTCCCCTGCGATTCTGTCCTGCCTCTTTGCAGTTACTCCTTTCCACTAGGTCCAGTTCGGCCTCCAGGATTTCATGAGTCTAAATTAAGCAGTCTCACGGACACAGCACTGTTGAAGTTTATTTCCTCTCCAGTCAGGTCTGTCCCCCCGCGTCTTTCACAGGCTTTGCCTGTTTCCAACTTATTGGCACAAAGTGTTCATTCTAGGTCCCTGTAAGATCTGCAGGATCCACAGTGACATCTCCACTTTCAGTGTGCTATGCATCGATGTTCCAGAGACAGTTCTAACCCAGTCTGAACTTTCATCCCCCTTTCCCCACGCCTCTGGTGCGAAGTCCTTTTGTCTTCTCACAATAACGCTTGGGTGGGGGCCCCTGAGCTAGGGTGGTATAGCAGAAAAGCCTGGCCTTGCAATTGGTCAGATTTGACCTGAACTCAGCCTCTCGCTGGCCCTGTCACCTGGTACAGATTGTTTAGCCACTCCGAGTCTCCATTTTATTCAGGGTGAAGATGAGCGGTAAGGCCCAGGGGCTGGGAGGGTGGCCGGTCACTGTGCTCGTTCTTGTGGCTGTCGATGGACGGTGTGACAGTGTGACCCGAACCCTCCTCTGCAGAGGCTGGAGCACTTCAGTGATAGGGTCGTGGGGGCTGAGAGCCACCCGAGGCCTCCAGGTTTCTCTCTCGTGGTATCTGTTTTGCGTTCTGTATAACTAGGATCTTGAGTTGGGGCACCGTGATGCATATTATTGAAACATGGCTAATTGATCAAAAATCCCTCAGCATAGAATAAATTGGCACAAGTGTGATGGGGGTAGCGTTTGTACAAGAAAGCAAGCTAAAAAGCCAAAGACATTTAAAACAGAAATGTAGAGGTTGTTACCTGTTTTAATTTTACCTGCTTCCTGTCTCCTAAGGTCGCTGATCTTCCCCTTCCTGATCCGAGGAGGAAAGCCAACGCCTCTCTTCACCTGTGTGTTAGCCTTCCTGTTCTGTACCTGTAATGGCTACCTGCAGTGTAGGTACCTGAGCCAGTACGCAGTATACACCGAGGACTGGGTGACCCAGCCCTGTTTTCTGGCTGGTGAGTGTCCTGTCCCCCCACCCCTACCGGGTCCCTGTGGTCTCTGCCATGCCCTATGGGTTCTAGCCAGAATGCCCAGGCTCTGTGACAACCAGGGGGGGCTGTCCTGTGAACACCCCAGAGGACAGAGCAGCCACGGGGACACAAGGCTGTTCTCACCTAGCCAGGGGGCCGGAAAGTGCATTCAAGGACACAAGTGCTGCTCTTGCCGAGAGCCCAGGCCGGAAGCCATGACTCGTGGAGGAGACCCTGGTTGCCCTTCACCCTGTGATCTGAGACGGTCCTTGAGCTTCTCCTAGCGTCTTATGGAAATAAGAAACAGTACCTTCCGACAGTGCAGGCAGTGATTATGCCAACTGGAATTAACAGTCAGGCTTGCGAAGGTTTTTTAAGTTTTTAAAAAATGCATTCTAGCTAGTATAAATTAACGTGTACTTTCAGGTTCTCATTACAGCATTACAAGTTTTGAGCAGAAGTGAAAATAAGCCATTTGCTATCAAAATAATCTCAAGATTATTAAAAATGCTTAATGTACTGTCAGTTTTTCCACTGCTGGGAAAAATACCTGACATAAAAAAACTTGAAAGGAGAACAGATTTGATGTGAGTCAGTTTCAGAGGATTTGTTCGGTCGTCTGCTGGCTGCAAGACAGGAGTGTCATGGTAGAATGGCCTGGCAGAGGAGCGCTGCCCCCAAAGCAGGGAAAGAGGACGAGGTGGGGCCAAGAACACACCTTCCAGGTCTCCCCTGAAGGTCCACTTCTCCCAGGCAGTCCCCAGCTCCTACCCTGAGGGCGGCTGGCCAGCCAGTGCTGGGAGGTGCTTCCTACTGAAGCGAAGGAATCCTGGGTGTCCTGGGGAGGGAGGGCTCTTCCCTGCTTGTCTAGTGCGCCTCGTAACACTTAGCTCGTGCACAAGTCACTTACCCAGTGGCAGCACACCAGGAGTCTTGAGTTGGTCCCTTAAATCCTCAGACTACATAAAGTGCCCTACATTGTATTTTGCTCTGGTGATGTGAAGGAATCTATTATAACAAGAACTAACTCTTGCGTAGTACTTTCTAGCTGACAAAGCACTTTCCTGTTCTCACGCCAGTTTTTCGGAGAATAAGAGCTCTATTTCCAGGGCAGTGCTGTGTTGCACCTGAGAAGTGACGCGGCAGGCAGTCTGTGTCCCCTGTTGAGTGAGTGGCTGAGAAGTCCCAGAGCCTTTCCTAGGCTGGGAATTGGTGCCTCAGGGAGAGGCTGGGCTTCCTTGAGTTGCACGGAAACTCCAAATGACAGCTTAGTTTTCCGGCTTCTCCACTACCTGGTTGTGGTTGTCTTCTGCTCCGAGAGTGAGAGGAAGGGAACCAGCCTTTTGCGGTCTTAGGGTAGCTCCTTCCTCCCTCCCATGGGCTTCTGGAAGGGCGGTCGCAGGTCCGAGGTGGACCCAGACTCGATCCAGAATCAACCTCAGTGACTCCAGCCCGCTCCTCGTGACCGCTGCTGGAAGGGGGTGCAGAGGAAAAGAAGGGGAATCACGGCATCTTTTTCTTTTGAACTGAAAGATGAAGGTTTTAAACGTTTATATGCTGGACATTCTCATAATGGATGGTTAGGATTGTTTTGGCGCGAAGGACAGAAGAACCCTTTTGGGCTAGGATTTAAACGTCATTCGGAGGAGCTGTGCAGACAGCGCACCGCCGCGATGGATGCTTTGACGCTGGGGTGGAGCTTGAGACCCTGACAATGTCTTTTAATCGTCACATCCGTCGGCGGGAGTTCGCACCTCTGTGCTGTATCTTGGCTCTTGCTTTCTTCCCATTTCTCTCCCCTCC